ACATTTAGGTCTTTGTGAGTGAGTGAGTGAGTGAGTGAGTGAGTGAGTGAGGTCCAGCAACATAACAGACAGCGGGGAACACCAGAAGCGGACTTCACAAATTGTGGTAAAAGAATCGAACCCAGGCCTCCGGCGTTACGAGCTAGCGCTTTAACCACGAGGCTACCCTACCTCCCTCAAAGTACTGAAAAAGCAGTTATATTCTATAACGAGCATTAGCCCAACACAAAACAGATCGATTATTTCTTCACCTGACAACTCTATATAATAATAAACGGATGAAAAATGTGTAATGTTGCTCTCTTAAATGTGTATCACATGTATATCTTTAATCTATTATTCCTTCATAAAATACTGACCAAAAATTTTTTGAGCCAATATTAATTGAACATATGATGGTGAGGTTTAAAAAATATTTACATATGAACAACACATACCACATGTCTGGAAAGTGAGTTAAGAGTCTATACGCGTAGCGTAGGCACTTTCTATACTACTCAACGTGTGATAGGGATATCTTTGTCTTTTCATTATGCACAGAACTGATTCTCATAATATGTCAAGTGACATATATGTTAAGTATATCGATTTCCGGGTTCAATTTCTCTCATGGACACAGTGTGTGAAGACCATTTCTGGTGTCCCCTGCCGCGATCTTGCTGGGGTATTGCTAAAAGCTGAGTAAAACCACACTCCCTCACTCTCGAAATATGTCTTGTACATACTTAAATATATCTGATTATACACATAAAAGTTTGAGTTGTATAATTGTGTCTACACGTATTCATGTCTTAGTGAAATTAGGCAAGTCAGAATTGTTTTCGAGATTTTAGTAACCGCGGTAATCAAAGATAGCACTACGCACTCAATGGTTACTAAAATAAGACCCAATCAGACCTGTCATCAAACGTGTCTCATCACCGAGGAACAATATGTCGGCCATTAATTCATTTCTTGATAATCGAGACTGGTTGATCGTTCAGCCATTGACGTTCCTATAATTCAACGTATAATTGTCACCATTGATGCAGACATACATCATGGCGTTAATGAGAATGGTTCAACGTCGCTTTCAGCAATATTCCAGCAATATCCAGCGGGTCACACCAAGATAGGATTCAAATATTGTACCATGTGGAGAATCAAACCCGGATCTTGGCGTGAAGAACGAACGCTGTAACTCCACTACCCCAAGGGAACTTCAAGGATGCATGTTGAAAACTTTGATTTTAATCGTAAGTTAGGTTAACCTCTTATCCCCGAAATAAACATATTTTACAGAAAAAAACAGTTGTTAAATATAGTTAATATTAAAAATAGTAAAAAGCCATCATTCTCAGATACTGCAGTAATCTATACTTTCCAAATATTATAGACTTGCATCGGCTATATTAAACATAAAATACGATTATAACGAATACGCTTATAGCGAACTGACGGATGTTGCGAACTTAATTTTGGTCCCGGCCATTTGCTGTATAGATGTTGCATATATGCTACGGTTATAACGAACTAAAATTAGTTGTCCATTTGAGTTCGTTACACCCGTAGTTTACTGTACAGTGAAGTACGTTTATAACGAACACGCTTATAACGAACTGACCAATATAACGAACTTATTTTTTAGTCCCGTCCATTTGTTGAATAAATGCTGTATATATGCCTATAACGAACTACGGTTATTACGAACTAAAATTAGTGGTACCTTTGAGTTCGTTATAACCGTAGTTTACTGTAGTTGTTTCAGGGTCTGTATAAATGACGGCTCGCAAGTATTTGTGATCGTTTTCTATGAGTGTCTGGTTTATATTTAATCATTTACTGTGATAGCAATCGTTTACATTCATAAGTCGATTGATTAAACTGAAAACATTGCGTTTCAGCATACATCATCAGAAAAGCCACAAGTCTTTCATTTGACACCAGTAACTGTTATACAAGGGTGGAAATAGGTTAATATGGCTAATGTCCTTCCGTTCATTCCGGTTCCAAGTCCATTCTGCAGTCGATGGACAACCACCATCTGGGTTTGAGAGACACTGAAATTGATCCTTGATTTAGACTCCGATATAATACATCCGAATGAATTGTCAAGAATGAGAACCCCATGGGGCTTCCGGCGCAGAACTGGTTACCATTAACCCACGCTTGTCGTATGAGACGACCAAGATGGATCGGATAGTAAGGGACTAAGGGTCTATGATTTGGTCGATGCGTACCATAAACCCGATGGCGTGTATCATGACTTAAGGTTCTACTACACCAAATCAGAATCAGTCGTTCAACAAGCTGTTTTCGTTGAGAGCCTTCAGTGCAGATTGAATCAGCTGGTAGCTGTGATTGGATGACTTTGTGTATCAAATGTATGTTTTTTTCAAATGTACACCCATCTAGTAATAAAAATTGACCATGATTTTCTATATGTAGTGCTGTCTTAATGCACTTATGGCTTATGCTGAATGTGAACACAGATATGTTCAAGCCAGTGACATTTGGTGCGGAACTGCGGGTGGTATGTTAAGCTTCTTGTACTCGGAAAAGGAGCTGGCTAAGCTAGTCATTCTTTTGTTCTTATTGTTGCTCTAAGGCCAGACTGTGCACACATCTCCAGGTAATAGCTGTTGAATGCTTAGTTTATTCTAAAAAAATATAACATTACTATTGAAGTCTATGAGAAAACATTTGGTCGTGTGTAACCTAAAATCCCTTCCCACCTCTGTTATTTACAGACGTTATATACTAGTAGCTGGAACATTACTTTACATATTATGTGACTAAACTGTGTCCATTTTGGAATCGAATTCTGGTCTAAGACGACATTGAGTTAACGTTTAAATCACTGGGCTAACCATTTGGGACGATTACAGAGTAATGACTTCATATTAGAAATACTTACAATATCCTTCGAAGATAACTTTAGGCATTTCCCATTTATTGATGAAGCGTACTTTATTGATAATGGCGTGTAATAACATTATATGAAGACATAAGTTCCAATATATTTTTACACAAGGTCCTTCAATTTCCTTTCCAGCATTATTGAGCATGTTATCATTCGTGAATCAGATTAAATCAACTGAAGGCGTTGTCAAGAGATTGTTTAATTTGTAACATCGGATGGGATGCAAGGATGAGGACAACGCATTGTATCCCTGCAGAATTGTGTTCGTGAATAAAGACCACATGATCCAAAGTTCGTTTACATATTTGATACAGTGTGCACGGCACAGATTAACATACAATTATATTTTTACATTAGTATTATTATCGAAAGGTTTCGTTTCATAAATGGGGGCACGGGTGGCCCAGTCGTCTAAGGCGCCGCGATTCGCTGTGCAGAGTTGTGTCCCTTGGGCACGCCAGAAACCTATGATTGTGGGTTCGAATCCCGGTTCGCCCCGATTATGTTTCTAGGTTTGTCAGCACCATACCCGTGCTCGTGGGTTTCACCGAAGTGGTAAACGTCTGAGACCTGCATCACTTCGGGCTTTCCTCCCACATTATGCTGATACGCCGTGATATAACTGGAATACTGTTAAAAGCGGCGTTAAACACAAATCACTCACCCACTCGTTTCATATATATGAACATATGTTTTACAACAGATTTCTGTTATGATAATAGACTATTGATACATTTTTAAAGGTTATGGTTCTACATAATAATATTATATATTAATATCATTTGCGGATCAATTTTCCCGTAATTCTGTAAATTCGAAATGATACAGTAACTACCTTTCTATTAGTTAAAGGTTGCATTTCGTATATACAGTGAGTGATGGATCTGTAGTTAAACCTCGTGTTTTGTTCATCCTGTTTATGAGCTACACATCTAATTTTACATACGCATGTAACGAGGCCTCTTATAGAGATCTCTTGAAATAGATATGATAGAATTATATTTCTCTGGTAAAAGAAGCGATTTATAGAAGGAATATACTTCAAAGACAGAAGGATTTGTTTTATTACAACACCAATTTTGAAGTTCATTATCCTTGGAGAGTTGTTTGAATAAGTCATAAATAATTCAAATCGCACAAAATTCAAGTCTTGAGACTGAAAACCCAGTAATAAATCCCAGTAATCTTATATGACAGTCCAAGTTAATTTTGCCAGAATCGTCAATATCCTTCAGCACGCATAAGTATATCTATTTTCGCTCAGACTAATAAATCTAACCAATATCTACGAGAACGACTATACAACTTGATTGATCGGCGTTGCCAATGGTATTTGCAAAAGAATTTAAAGAGAAATGGCATGTCTTCAAAACTACAGTAGCGATAATCTCTCACGGGCCCTGAAGTATACATACACATGTTCTTTCACAAATAATGTTGTCTTCGGTTCTTACATCCCATTTCTTCCCTTTTTCACTCGCTCTAGCATCCCATTTTCATCCCCTTCTCAGTTTTAGCATCCTGATTCGCATCCCTTTCTCAGGTCCAGCATCCCATTTTCACCCCCTCTTCATTTCTTGCATCCCATTTTAATCCCATTCTGAGCTTTAGATTATCATTTTCATTTTCATTTCTGAAACCTTTTATTTCAATGGAACGAACACATTTTTTATTCGAGAACATATCTTATTCAACATTAACGGTAAAATGAAGGCGAATTAAACCGATGTGAAGATTCAGCGGTGCAAGATGCTAAGAAGATCGATCAATCTTCTGATGTATTAAAAAAACCTCTCAAGTTTGACACTTTAAGATTATTTTGGACTCCTAATGATGTATCGGTTGATCTTGAAAGTAAACTGTCAGTGGCAGAGGGCAATGTTTATAAAATCACATGAGTTTGTTCAGAACGATCGTCGAGGCACAAATTTAGACGAAAGCCCCCGGTCCATTGCCAGCTCGTGCGCGTTCATGCCTTATCAGCATCTGTGGTCTAACTAAGCGAATTTGGCACCGATGCCTGTTTGCTGGGAACCGCTTCTATCACAACAAGCAACACTCGCCGTTCTCAAATCTCACTTCGATCAATTTCTCGCCACAGAGAATCCAATTATTCCCAACTGCCCGGATGAAACAAACATGGCGGCCTCCGTTTGGCGAAAATCTGGTATTTTGGAATGGTTCGTGCCAAGCGATGCGTTAGATTTCAAATTCCTTCGATAACGTATCGACTATATAAACACAGGTTTTAATACTGACGTAAGAGGACCTTCCATGGCGATCACCATGAAGTGGATGCGTAGTATCTGTCTGGCGTTCGTGGTGTGGGGGTTGCCCTCAGGTAAATATAGTTAAATACATTAATTCATATCTCGGTGGTCTTGACGATGCCTGCTTCAACACGGGGCGACGACAACATTCATGACCCGCTAATGGGTGTTTCACCCTTCTGTTACGCAACGAATCCCATGTCTCCTTTTTCAGTGCAATGTTCTTCAAAATGGCATGATGCATTTAATTTGTGAGGAATAATTGAGTACAACTTATCGTCCATCGATATGTTATAACAATATTGACTTGATACAGATGTCAGCATGAATCAACAATAATCTTTTTTCTTGCGCTGATTATGATATTATTAATAAGATTTTTTTAAGTAAAGCGCATACATGCAAGACTGTTAAGATCATATAAATAACACACTGTCAGATATGTGAAAGTGATAATATGCATGACAGTTTGTTTGTTTGTTGTTTAACGCCGAACTCAGCAATATTACAGCTGTATGACGGCGGTCTGTAAATAATCGAGTCTGGACCAGACAATTCAGTGACTGATATCATGAGCATCGATCTACGCAATTGGGATACAATGACATGCATCAACTAAGTCAGCGAGCCTGACCACCCGATCACGTCAGTCGCCTCCTACGACAAGCATAGTGGCCCTATACAGCAAGCACGGGTTGCTGGAGACCTATTCTAACCCATGCATGACAGCACGTAATATAATGGCAATAGCCGGTTTGAGGTTAAAGCGGTATGTATTGCTTAATTTAATCGGCAGTTTTTGACGGAACTATTTGTTTACACATAATAAAGATAAATAAGGTTGTGAATGCTTGTAACAGGGTGCAGTTGTCTCGGTAAGGAAGAGAATGCAAAATGAACGGTTTGATATTAAGAGGAACTGATTAAGGAGTCAGTGATCTGGAGTTAGTGTAATTATATCAGAAGTTCGCGGCGTTACAGGGGAAGTGAACGGCACGTCGTCTAATGCTGTTGTGCAGCTGCCGGAGTACTTGAGACCCGCTGTTAATAACCAGGCGGCTGATTGCTCGGGAGGAAGTTGGTCGGATAGGTGAGCACGAAAGTGGAAGCAGTTCTGGAGTGTGTGGGTGTGTGTGTGTGTGGGGGGGGGGGGGGGGGGGGGGTGTGTGTGTGTGTGTGTGTGTGACGCAGTGAGTGGGTGGGTAATGGTAGGGGAGGGGTTGAGGAATGGACTCGCGCTAGACAGTGGTAATGGGAGAGAGGGGGTGGTTGGAGGATAGAAAGCGGATGTGGAGTTGACTAACATGTGTTGTCTGAAATGTGTATAGTTTACAAAAACAGTTGTTGAATTATCTCAATAAAATATAACAATCTGGAGCTGGAACTGCAGCAGAGACCATATAATAATGTAGACTTGCCAACTGTTATAGACTTGCATGGGCTGTATTGAATGTTTGTTTGAGGGTCTGTATGAGGCGTGAGTGGTGAGGTGAAATGGGGTTTAACGTCGCGTTCAAGATTATTGCACTCATATAGCGACGTGCACGTGTGTGTGTGGGGGGCGGGGGGGGGGGGGAAGAGAGTTGTGAGGAGGTGACGGACGGGAGAATTGTGGGTTGGGCGAGGGAGACGCTCGATCGGAGAGTTAAATCGGCGAGGAGAGGATAGGCAGAGTAAATAAGGATAGAATAGGATGAATATAGAGGAGACTTGGTGAGGAGATGTTGACAGAGGGTGGGGGTAACGATGGACAGTGGGGGAGGACAGGTGGGAGAAATCAGCAGAATGAGGGTTAGCTGAATGAGAGAGAGAGCAACACAGACACAGATATACACACATGGTGAGGCAACGAGGAAGATAGAGAGAAAGAGACGGCGTTGGATATAAGTCGAAATACTAAAAAATCAAAAACATCTACATGTGTATTTGTTCTTTTATTAGTTCACACTAAACATGTCTTTATCCACATGGACAAAATGTCAAAGGAAAGCATCTTTTGTTGTCGAACAAACTGTGGCAAATTCCTCAGAAAAAGATAACACGGAGTAAGGTCGCACAAGTCTGTAAGAGTCACCACATCGCCCAACCCTGACATAAACAATCTTCAGTAATCTTATAGCCAACAACCTCCTGCAATCCTGCCCTCGCCCAGGGACAACCTATTGATCAAACTGCACTGTATGCATAGAGATTTAGTCATCTATTCAACAATCTGTCTACGGCAACTCACGGTATTCCCTCGCGGGCCATTAGGGGTTCAATGGACGACCGCTTCATCGATCGTGATTCTGGTAGCAATTAAGTCTGCCAACAACATCGGGTTTCACCGCCAGATCCCAACAGGTGTCTCAAACTCTTCGCCTCTGTGTTCGCCATTAGCGTCTTACGAAATACCGCATCAGTCGTTGGCAGGTGCTTCGTTTAAATCAGTTGAGAAAGAGGTGCAAATGTTCGTGGGGTGACGAACAATGGGATGTTCAAGAAATTGGCATAAAGGTTATAGATTTTATGAAACTTTTCAGAGGTACCATTTAATACCGTTTTCCTTACCTAGGTTGGCACTATAATGTTCATATAATGTTCACTGCCCTTTTTTCCTTTTACGCCAAATGGAATCTCTTTCGGCGGATAATCGAGACTGATCATTCGCTAACGTTGACGTTTTATATTTACAAGACAATGACTATTAGACTTGTATAGTTACTATATACATGCACAACATATTTTTGGATAAGGTGGTACTGGTGGCCCGGTGGTCTAACGAACTGTAATTCACTTTGCAGTGGTGTGTCCCTTTGGCGGACCAGAAACGTATGATGGTAGGTTAGAATCCCAGATTCGGCTGAATATGTTTCAAAGTTTGTCCTCGTCACACCGCTGTTAATACGTCTAAGACATGCATCATTTCGAACATGCCAGGATTTAAATGACCCGTGACGATTCGGGTTACAATAGGTCTTCAGCAACCCATGCTTGCCGTGAAAGGCAACTATGCTTGTCGTAAGATGCCACTAACGGGATCGGGTGGTCAGTCTCGCTGACAAGGTTGATGCATGTCCTCGTATCCCAACTGCGTGGATCGATGCTCATGATGTCAATCACTGGATAGTCTGGTTCAGGGTCTATTATTGACAGGCCGCCGACAAATAGCTGGATTATTACTGTGTACGGCGTTAAACAAAAAAATAATTTAAATACTGTTCAAACCGTTAAAACCAAACTCACGCAAGTCTACTGATAAATACGTTAGTGTGACCAGTGTTCAATGAACAGGTATATCTATTAACTAGTTAAATCGTGACTGATCGGATGCTGGTGTGTAGAAAGATACACAGCGATCAAAAGGGAAGCGGGCTAATGGCAATATGACGATACAACATAGCTTTATAGCATGAGGCATAACACAGAGACAACTGGACCCGTAAGAAGACACGCGATATATTTCCGTAGCTATTTATAGATGTAGATGGCTATATTTATTTTCCAATTTTGAAAACATTATATCTGACATACCCGATGTATAATGTGTGACATGAACAGTGCTATGCACTCGTGACGTCTTGGGCTGCCATTATTCACCCAATTAGCCTGAAGACGACTATAGGTTCAGTTGGACATGCCATATTTTAGCTTCCATTATGGTAACGAAAGTCCTATGATACTTTCATGGGTTCTCGGTCCCCGAAACCCGTTGCGCTGCGATTATTAAGTTTTATATTCGTAGTCTACTTCAATGAACTATTCATACGCTGGAAGATGGTTTTTTTCGTAATGACAAACATCTATGACCAGTGCAGAATAAGGCGTGTTTTAAACTTATAACAGACATAGAGGAGAGAGAGAGAGAGACGGGGGGGAGGGGGTTACGAGAAAAGGATGGGTCGTGAAAAAGGATAGACACGAGACAGAGAGAGAGAGAAAGAGAGAGAGTCACACATGAGACAGAGAGCGGAGGGTAGAGAGAAGGGGGGGGGGGGCGAGCGAGAGGCCCGGAGACGCACGACGAAGACACCCGACACACTGTATTCATCAGTGTGTGCAGCGCACGTACATGTATCAGGATACCTACCCGTGAAGATCCTGGTTAGAATATGTCTTCAGCAACCCATGCTAGGTGACTAACGGGATCAGATGTCAGGCGCGCTAACTTGGCTGATGCATTTAATCGTATCCAGATTACGTGGATCGATGCCCATGATGGCAATCACTGGATTGTCTAGTCCAGACTCGATTATTTACAGACATATGGCTGAACTATTGCTGAGTGCGGCGTTAAACAACAAACAAACACACATTAAAAGCACGAACTGAAAAAAATCTACGTGCAGATGTATTTAAAGCGCTATTGCCACTGCTAAATATAACCGCTCGCAGCTGATTGTCGATTTTTACCCGAATTGTAACCAATCAAAACTCAATCATGTTGAATGTTTATCGCTACGAAAATGGACATTTCTTAAAAAGCGCAATTGATTTACAATGCTGTAAGTATTATTCCTTATCGGCGAAGTGGCTTGTTTTTACTTAAACGTGTTAGCATACATGCATCTATCTTTATGATCATCGCGATATTCCAAGTGGCGAGGAGAATAGTGTCTGAATATTGCAAGGAATAAATGGGCGACTGTTGGTTGTTATTAGACACAGTGTGTGTGTGTGTGTGTGTGTGTGTGTGTGTGTGTGTGTGTGTGTGTGTGTGAGAGAGAGAGAGAGACAGAAAGAGAAAGAAAGAAAGAGAGGGATTACGAGAAAAGGATGGGTGGTGAAGTAGAGATAGACGATAGAAAGAGAGAGAGTTTCACACATGAGACAGAGAGACATGAGACATTGTGATTTAGATACACAAGTATGTTTGTTCCTTCTCCACCAGTGTGGACCAGCTACCCCATCCCAGACGAGCAACTGTTGTATGAAGACCTGATGAGGAATTACCAGAAGTCGGTCCGCCCCGTCATCAACGCCTCCTACACCCTCATTGTCAAGTTCGCACTCCGACTCAACCAGATTGTCGGACTGGTGAGAATGTGTTCCCTTATAGTCTAGGTTATCTGTGAGATGCTTCACTATCTCTGAATGACGTCTATCCCCGTCACAGATAGCAGATATCCCCAGATAGCAAGGGCTCATCCTTTACTTAAAATGCTGGAATCTGGAATGCAGACACGTCATCAAACTATAGATGACGTCATATGTTACCTTTATCAACAAGCAATTAATGAATTGGCCAACAAATTTCTATTATTGACATAATTTGTAAAATATAAAACATTTTTCTGAATTTGTAAATGAGAAATGTTTTATTAACGATTTCTCTTGCACGAGATGAAATGAAAATGTATATATTGCACTAGAGTGTATTATCCTCGGTAAATCTTATCAGTGAAAAGAGGTTGATGCTGGAGACGAAACAAGTGGCTGGTTGAGTCTACTCTGAGTAGATGGTGGGGGTGGCAGGGTGTTGACCCACTCGTCTAATTCGTAGTTGCCTCCCTTCGGCCTGCCAGAAACCTGTGATAGTGGGTTCGAACCCCGGTACGCATTGATTATGGTTCAAGGTTTGTCTGAAACATACCCGTGCTCGTGGGTTTTACCAAAGTGGAAAACGTCTAAGACCTGCATCACTGTGTTTGATATGAAACCTGTCGGCCCTTAAATTCCGAATAACATGTTTAAAGCAGAGGTAATATCTTTTTCACAATCATGACTTCTTTAAAGTAATGTATCAGTAAGGATTAAGTCAGATATAATATATTTGTATGTAAATACGAGTAGCATCACTTTGGAGGCCCTGTCATCTGGGGCACCACAATTCGTGGGTGCCAGAAACATAAATTTTGATCGTGGGTTCGATACTCGTTTAGCCGTGATTATGTTTCTAGCTTTGTCAACACAACACCTGTGTATGTGTTGCTCCTGACTGATCTGCATCACTCACTCACTCACCCAACCACCCACCCACCCACGCACTCACTCACCCACCCACCACCCTACAACACACCCACGCACTCACTCACGCCACTCACTCACTAACTCCGGGGCAGACAGAGTTCCTTAGTGCTAGTGACAACCGACTGTTGAGGATTGGGGGTTATCATGTGTGACCTGCTTAAATATGTCCTCTTGGTCAGAAGCGCTGATCGTTGCCGGTGCTGTATATAACCCCTGGCCAGGACTCGATTCTTTACCGGTTGTCATGATATAGCTGGAATATGGCTGACGTTCACTCAGTCGCTGATCTCTGCTTCTGTACTTCTCTCTTATTAATCATCAGCGAAGTCGCCTATACTCATAACAGTAGGGACACGGGTGGCCCAGTCGTCTAAGGCGTCGCGATTCGCTGTTGGGTTTGAATCCCGGTTCGCCCGATTATGTTTCCAGGTTTGTCTGCACCATACCCATGCTCGTGGATTTCACCAAAGTGGTAAACGACTGAGACCTGCATCACTTTGGGCTTTTCTCCCACATTACGCTGACACGCCGTGACATAACTGAAATACTGTTCAAACCGGCCTTATAATTGTAACATTGCATTACCAGAGCCGGAAAACTTAACCGATGGTGATGCGACCACATTGGTGTTTTCGTTGACGATAGTCAGAAAAGACTTTAAGGGGCATAATTAAATGTTATGGATCTTAATTATTTTAAACCATATTTATTTTCAGGACGAGCGGCAGCAGGTTCTTACAAGCAATGTGTTTATTGATCAGGTAAGGCAACAGCGAGGATTTCAACTATGATCAAAGAGACGACATTAAGTAGTTTTTAGTACTTGTTCAACTTTCTTGTAAATTAGCTTGCTTAATTGAAAAAAAAGGTTCTTAAGTTCATTTATTCCACATTTAGGAAATTTGGATTCGGCAGCAACGTAAACAGGTTAAAAATATTACTACTACTTATAAAGAGGAATGGTGGGTTATTTCATGTTATTCGAAAACTAGAAGATTGGTGAGGGGAAATTGGGTTTAACGTCGCGTCCAAGATTATTGCACTCACATATCGACTTGCATGCACGTGCGTACGTGCGTGCGTGCGTGCGTGCGTGCGTGTGTGTGTGTGGCTGCTTGTACTAGTCCGGACTGATGCAGTTTTATAGTGCTAGCTCACTGAGATACCATGCCGCAGTTTAACATGAATACCCCACTCAGACACGGTATACTGACTACGAACCGACCAGTCCTTGTTTTAGCCCCTTAATGCCGAGCGCCAGACAGGGTAACAATAAGTACCATCTCTCAACGTCGTTTGGTATGACGCGGCCCGGGATCGAACCACTTGAATTACTTACTTTAATTGTAAATGAAGCTGAACATACCCAGTTGCATGGCAATATGGGATACTATGCGTAGACTTTCCCTTTCAAATTTTGAGTGGTATAGATTGCCCTAGTGTTGGTCCCTATGAGAAACGTTGGCGCCTTGAGCAGTGGCGTCGGGGCTTTGAAGGAAATTAGTGGCTTTATAATTGGTTACTTCAAAGGCAGTTGGTTCGTAGCAGTACTTGAAGTAGTAAACGCAAATGACATACTGGCCGTTGTTGAGGTTACATCCATGGGTTAAAGAGCAAGAAGCAGATAGAATCGTGTTAGCCTATCTCCCCTCCCAGTCCCCGGACGATATTTTATTTCTGGGACTATTTGTCAATCTCGGAAGCGTGTATGTAGTTTGTAGAGGACTTGGCAAAACATAGGAAAACCACTTACCAGTGAGGCTCAACAGGGTTGCGCTGAGACTTAACGGGGTTGCCATTCTACTGATTTCTTACTGTCCCTTTCTCGTTCTCAATCTCATTAAAATCAGATCTTAGTTCTCGCTTTGTTTAGCGGCAGCGAGAACGTAGAATTGATGTTAATGAGACTGCTCTTGTCTGTGATTGGATTCTTTACTGACGCTTTCATCCTATGCTGAGGTTGATTTCTTTAGTTCACGTTATCTCTATTCTGTGGTTGATTATTTATTACCCTTTCTCTATTCTGTAAGTAAATTGTTTCCACTTTTCACCAGGAATGGGTGGACGAGAACCTCGCCTGGGATCCCAAAAACTACAATGACATTCGCTCACTCCGCGTAGCCGGCAGTAACGTGTGGCTGCCAGACACCTTCATGTTCAACAAGTAAGGAGAACACTCCATGGATGTTACCCCTTGTTGATCAGCTATATGTCCCGTTGTCTCCTGTATATTTACTGTAACTAATGACCCTGCAGAAAAGGACATTGTTTTGGTAGCAGCCGCCTAATATGGCCAATAGCTACAAGGTGTGACCTGGCGGATTGTGTGCCATTATACCCCGAAAACGTCCATCGTTCTTGTACTGCCGACAAGGGCCTTGTTCCACAAAACGATCTTCGTGCTACGAGTGTCAACTTCCATACTTCAACATAGACGTCCGATAGTCGTAGCGCTGAGATCGCTTTATGGAACGGGGCGGGGCCCTGTGATGGCCCCGACTTGATTATTTACGGTCGACATGGAATACGTGAAATATTGCCAGCTGCGGCGTAAAACAGTATTTACTCCCTTAAACTAAGTGTTAACTGAATATCCAGGACTCATGATAAAATATCTGCATTAAGAAACTTGTATGCAATCAAAAAATGTATGTATATATGATTTTCGTCCTCACTCAGTGTGATGAAGCAAGTAACACTATATTTGATATCATCCCTGGCCACGGGAGTATGTTGGGGCTTTTATATGCAGTGTTTATATATGTAATGATATGTATACTTATGATCATTTGTGATTTGGTGGTCGTTGTGGGGGGCATGTACAAGAAAATCATGTCCTTAATACATGTTTGCATTTACAGTAAACTACGGATATAACGAACTTAAAGGGACCACTAATTTTAGTTCGTTATAACCGTAGTTCGTTATAAGCATATATACATCATAACTACAGCAAATAGTCGGGACAAAAAAGTAAGTTCGCTATATCCGTCAGTTCGTTATAAGCGTGTTCGTTATAAACGTAGTTTACTGTAATAAGCGCCCCCTCAAATCACAAATGATAATTTCCCATATCGGTAATACATCTTACAGCGCAGACGACGGATCAACCGGATTCATGAGCGGCACCTTTGTCCAGGTACACAACGACGGGAGTGTCATGTGGCCAGTACCGGTCAAACTGAAGAGCTCGTGCAAGGTGGACATCACGTACTTCCCGTTTGATGACCAGAAGTGTATTCTGAGATTCGGGTCGTGGATCTATAGCGGTTCCTGGGTGGACTATGTTACCATGTACAACAACACACCAATCGACATGGCGTACTACGTCAACAACAGTGAGTGGGAACTACTTTCAGTGACGTTGCAGAAGAACAACCGTCAGTACGAGTGCTGCCCGGATGCGCACCCTGATTTGACGTTCATTCTGCATATACGTCGTAAAACATTCTACTACATCTTTAACATCATCGTCCCGTGTATCATGCTGTCGATACTGACGCTGTTGACGTTCTGGCTGCCCCCGACGTCGGGGGAGAAGGTAACGCTGGGGCTGAACGTCTTCCTGGCGTTCTCCATGTTTATGTTGCTGGTGGCAGAGGAGGTTCCGGCCACGTCGGAGGCAGTGCCACTCATTGGTAGGTATAATACCCGTGATGGTCCGGGGTAGAATAGGTCTTCAGCAACCCACGCTTGCCGTAAAAGGCGACTATGCTTGTCGGAAGAGGCGAGTAACGGGATCGGGTGGTCAGCCTCGCGCTGGTTGATGCATATCATCGTATCCAAACTGCGTGGATTGATGATCATGGTGTCAATCGCTGGAGTGTCTGGTCCAGACTCAATTATTTGCAGACCGCCATCATATAGTTGGAGTTCGGTGTTAAACAACAAACAAACATTGGTAGGCATACCTAGTAGCGAGCAAGTGAGTGTGATTTTACGCCGCTTTGAACAGTATCTATAACACAGCGTGTAGGCTTAATGTGAGACGAATACCCGGATGCACGTGATCGTTGTTTACCAAGTTGATGAAACCAACGAGCATTGGTAAGTTAAGTGTGGTAGTTATGTGTGATGAGGTAGCCTTGTGATTTTAGCTTCGTCTTGTAACGTCTAAGACCTGGGCTCGATTCCTCATATTGGTACAACGCGTCGAAAAAGTTGTAATTACGGCAGAGTGATGATTTGAGCTTTCTTCGTCGCACAGACGTTCCTGCTTTGATTTTAAGCAGGATTTTCTTGTCGGGGTTAACGTGTACTTACTTATCAACCAACCATGAGTGAATGTGATTTTACGCCACTTTGGGCAATATTCGAGCATGTTACGGCGGGGTCAACATAAAATGGTACTCATGTGGGGAATCGAGCCGGGGCTGACGGCGTGGCGAGTGAACGCTTCAACAACTAGGCTACCCCGCCGCCCTACTCCATTTGACATAAATAAGAATTCTTAAATTTAAAAGATATGACCTTAAATGAATATCGTCTTTGAGGCTAAAATCAAGACACTTTAACTGTTGAATACAACCAACATGCGTGGTATAGACACGCATGCACCAGTGTATTTCTGAAGCTAATGTTCCAAATATATATTATTTTTAATAAATGAATAATCCTAATATTTTTACCTGGGTTATATTCATGTGTAATTCTAATATAACTACTTCTTTAATAATAATAATATCCCAAATACATGTTATTTGCAGGTATCTATCTGTGCTTGGTAATGACGATGACGTCGGTATCTGTTATCATGGCCGTCATAGTCATCAACGTCTACAACCGTGGGATGAAGATGAGGCGTGCTCCTGTCTGGATGAGAACATTAGCTCTCAACTGGCTGTCTAAGGTCCTTCGTGTCAAACACGACATAGAACTAGTTGCAAGACACGTAGTACTGGTAAGCAATACGTCACCATGTTGCATATTCGAGGCAAGGGAGTTAACTGACTTTAACAGTGAAAACTGGACTTTAATAGTCAGGTAACTCCCTTGCCTCGGGAAGATGCTTATGTTTAAATTAGACAACAATCACTTACCGGTAGAGCAGGACATGCTTACCCTTTTCGTGAACACCCGGTGTCGTCGCTGACTTTCAGTGATCTATTCATATAAGTTTGCCTTTTATGCTAAGTGGAATCTGTTTCGGTAAATGTTTGACACTGATTATTCCCTGCCGTTTCGTATTTTGTATCAATTACAGAGGAAGCCAAAATCTTGGAGGTATCAATTCAGCGTCCACCCCAAGGGCTCCGTTATCAATCAACGAGGCTTACATTATCTTGCTAATTTTCAATTGTTTTTTTCTATGCTTAAATCCCAACTGGTAGTTATAAGGGAATTCCATTGTGACGTATTTAGGTCACATGTTACTTCAGGTCTTCCAGCCTTTAGATATCACTCGATGGCTTCCTTAAGGGTTTACAATGAGAGCCCATTGGTCCAGAAACACCCAATCTCATTAAAATCAGATCTTAGTTTTTGCTATCGCTAAACAAAGATCTGAGGGCATCCCATTACGGGTCACGTCAGAACGACCTCTTCGCGAATTTTGACCGACCAATGAAATGACTGACAAGAAATCGACATAAGCCAATCAGAAGGCTGCTCTTTCGAGCTTTACGAAACTAGTTTCAAACTGGCGACTACGCTTCGGAACATATTTCGACGTATTCTCGATTAAAAAAATTAAACCTGATAGGAAGAACATTCTGGAATACCATATAGATGGCCTAGTTTGTATGGATATAATCATAAAACCCGTAACTTTCGTTCGGAATACCCCCATGTTAAATATTTCGTGGTTGCATGATTAGAAAACACATTCCGACTGTCACTTTCATGATCTGGTAAGCGTCGCTCTGATTGGTTGGATGAAAGGTCGTTCTGACGTGACCCGTAATGGAATGTCCTCAGATCTTTGTTTAGCGATAGCGAGAACTAAGATCTGATTTTAATGAGATTGAGAAACACCACATGCCAGGCATTTACTGTTGGAACATGTCCTTACATCAAGCTCCTCACAGTGCTCTGTACTGTCTCTGCCACCAGTCACAGCTCCCAAACTGTGATAGGCAGCCACAACCATGCTTGGAGTCGAACTCGCAACCGACTGCCCGTTATGTTTACAAACAAGTGATGACTGCCGTGACACCGAATAATCTTTGCCCAGCTAAATTATTTTCTTTGTTTGTCAATTTGAATTGAAACTATCATGTAATTGGTAGATTAAGAATGTAAGGGGGAAGTTGGTGATTTTCCGTTCGTCCACAAGCTCGAACCAATCTGATTCAACAAACAAAAAGTTTAATTCATCTGGGAAATATGTTTTGAACCTTTAAAAAATGTATTATGATAGCATTCCCAAAGACATAAACAAAAGTATATACCTAACTACATTTGGGGTTAGAGTGCAAATTCAAAGATGCTTGTTTTGACCGCTCCCAAAATGACGGCAGCAATGTTATCGAGAGCATAACGAAGACTTCACGCGCTCGGGGGAGCTTGGTCCCAATATATGCAAAGGGACATAACTCAGTACCCATGATTCGTTGATCTGGAAATGCGCTATTGGTGACTAGTAAATGTAAATGGTCCAGTTTGCCCTGTTCGCCCTGATTTTAGTTCTAGGTTTCTTCAAGGTGGCGTTACTTACTGTTCTCGTGATCATTTGTACTGGTCATATGTACACGAGTGAACAACGCCAAAGGTTTCAATAACTTAATATGTCTTCTAATTTACAGGAGGACCACTTCTACGAAGTAACAAAACGCCCTGATAACACAAGTCAGATCCGCAAGACTTACTCCAAGTTTGATATAAACAAACCCATCAACAGCCCAATTTTCACCAGACACAACAACAACTCGGAAGGGTACCAGCCAATCAGACCACACGTTAGAAACCGAAGGAACAGCATCGGGGAGCATCCTGACCAATGGCACGACCCGTACTATCGCCAGGACGACCACGAGCCTGTCCACAACGGACCCCCGGGAGCATCTTTCAGCGAGGACACACCGCCCTGTAATATTGTTCCTTCCGTTCTTATTGAAAGTCCCAATGCAAGTCAAGCACCCGCTGTGGTTATCCCCAATCAGAACGCCTGCTCACTTCAAACAGTCCTCCACCAGAATACAAACGCCTACCAGAGTCAGGTCGTGTTCCAACACCCCCCTGCATCAACTTCAGGCCAGGCGATGCGGTTTGAAGAAGCTACTGACGGTGATTCTGATAGTGAAACGGTTAATTCCATCCCCCATCTCAAGAAGGTGATCGTGGCCGAGTGGCAGAGGATTGCCGTTGTCGTGGATAGGTTCCTGTTCTGGTTCTACATGTTTGTTACCTTCACATCCTACCTCATCATCCTCATCATTGTCCCTGCTCAGCACTACACCCACGGCAAGCGAGGCATCTTCCAAGAAGGGGGATTTCAGCCTACTGACATATAGGTTGTGGAAGAGTGCCAAAACAGTTGGGGAGGAAGACCATCAAGGGCATTATGCCATCGTCTCTCTCGGAAACCAATACATCTGGACGAAAAATTTGACGAGGCTAAACAATGCTATTAGCACCATACATTTAACATGTATTTTGTGGAGGATTCTGGTTGGTCATAAGTGTTATTGTAGTGTAGCCGAGAGAGAAACCACTGCGGGCATGTGGCTTTTATCATGTTGTGTTGAACCTGACATATTAAATGACAGTGTGATCAAACACCGATCTTAATGACACGATTGATGTTTAGGCAGGTTATGGAACTTTTGATGCCGGGGCTGTTTGGGATATTCAGTACAGTGGAAAACGTTTAACTTCACCTTTCGGTACAGTTCAAACAGGGATGGATTCTGTACAATGCTCAAAATTGTTGTACTTCAGTCATTTTAGACGAATATTTGTTTATATTGCCAGTGCTGTTGGTTTTCAGAGACCTAAAAGAAACATTTTTTTTATCCAGAAAGTCATTTAATACCAAATTTTAACTTGTGAATCCATATTACATTGTTTTCAGTTGATACACAAGGGATGCTGATAATCGGCAATGTTGAAATTCAAGCAAGTACAATCTCGACGAGTTGATTAAAAAACTGGAACTTTGGGGTTAAGGTGAGAGAGTGAGTGAGTGAGGTGGGTTTAACGCCGATTTGAACAGTATTCCGGTTATATCACCGTGACAGCCTTATGTGGGAGGGAAGCCAGAAGTCGGGCAGGTCTCAGATGTTACCACTTTGGTGAAACCCACGAGCACGGGTATGGTGCTGACAAGCCTGGAAACATAATCGGGGCGAACCGGGATTCGAACCCACGATCTAGGTCTTAGCGCGTCCAGGGAACCCAAGTCTGCACAGTGAATTAGACGACTGGGCCACCTGGGCCTCCTGAGGGTTAGAGAACATGTTGACCCTGGTGAAACTAGGAAGTGTTGGGGTAGTGGATTCTCCTGGAACTGGGGGCACGGGTGGCCCAGTCGTCTAAGGCGCCGCGATTCGCTGTGCAGAGTTGCGTCCCTTGGGCACGCCAGAAACCTATGATTGTGGGTTCGAATCCCGGTTCGCCCCAATGATGTTTCTAGGTTTGTCAGCACCATACTCGTGCTCGTGGGTTTCACTGAAGTGGTAAACGTCAGAGACCTGCATCACTTCGGGCTTTCCTCCCACATTGAGCTGACACGCCGTGATATAACTGGAATACTGTTAAAAGCGGCGTTAAACCCAACTCTATCACTATATCTTCTGGAACTGGCGTTACGCAGTCATTCAAACCAGTATGATCACGGAGCACTGATTTATATTCCGGGGACGGAAGATGCATACACCATAGAGAAATCACTCGTTAATTCCTAACACTGTTGCTATGGTAGATCAGTTGTGTTACTGAATGGTTTGTGTTAAATGTATAGCTCAAACAATTTTAGAATGTCATGTTGTTCATTTACTACAGTTTATTTACAGCTGACGAATCCTGATGGGGCTTCTTCCATTGTTACCATAATAAACATTAATTAGAAACAAATAAGTTATTTTTTTCTTTTGCACCGAAAAGTACGAGAACCACGAATGTGGACTAACGTAGGGTATGAAAAAGGCAGATCGCTTTCCTTGGTGTTTGCATATTCAAAGTGGTAAAGGTGACTCCATATTGGTGAGTGAGTGAGTATGGTTTTACGCCGCTTTTAGCAATATTCCAGCAATATCACGGCGGGGGACACCAGAAATGGGTTTCACATGTTGTACCCATGTCGGGAATCGAACCCGGGTCTTCGGCGTGACGAGCGAACGTTTTAACCACTAGGCCACCCGACCGCCCCGATTCCATATTGCGATGGTCATTGTCACGTATCCAATGTATTATGTATCCCTTTTTTTGTGAGTGAGTGAGTGAGTTGGGTTTAACCCCGCTTTGAACAGTATTCCAGTTATATCACGGCGCGTTAGCTTGATGTAGGAGGAATGTCCGAAGTGATGCAAGTCTCAGACGTTTATAACTTTGGTGAAAACTACAAGCACGGGTGTCATTTTGTTATCAATACCCTGGAACCAGAGTTTCATTTTGGTGACCGATTCAAATGTCACGATGCTCAAAAGACGTCCTGTCAACATTAATTACACTCAGCAATATTCCAGCTGTATGACGGCGGTCTGTAAATAATCGTGTTTGGACAAGACAATCCAGTGATTGACGTCATGAACATCGATCTACGCTTTTGGGATACGATGACATGCAATAACCAAATCAGGGAGCCTGACCACCCGATCCCGTTAGTCGCCTCTTACCACAAGCATAGTCGCCTCTTACGACAAGCAGGGGTCAATAACACATGAATTAGATCTACGTTAGCAGTTTTACATTATCTCGCAAATAGAAGTTAAAATTTAAAATCACCATTTGCACATGATTACTTTCAATATATACCGAACCGCAAAGGAAACGTCACCCCAAGTAGCTGTCATTAAATAATCTGGGTATTTTTTGTCAAAGTTTCTAAAATTTAACATTACCTTGTCCGGAAAAATGATATTTAATGATAATAAAAACAAAGCAGATGACAATAAAACCGATCGCCCAAACGCATCACGGCAACGGCTATGGTAACCCGATGCACGTGAGTTCCGTTCAAATTGCCCCAAAAATCCACCCTGATCGGATTACATTCATTCGTTATTGAATTGCTATCACATGCCAAGATTGACAAGAAATCAGCGACACCAAGCCCTTGGACGATTGCAAGCTGGGCAAACCGCCCGGCAAGTAGCCAATGCATTTCAAGCCCACGTAAGGACCATATACAGGATCCAGCAACGGTACCAGACCACCATCACTACAGATGACCGACCACGTAGTGGAAGACCAAGGATCACCACCCAACGTCAGGATCGTCAGATTGTGCGACAGCATCTTCATGATCGCTTTGTTACTGCTGCAGAAACTGCTCGACAGACCATGGGGACACACCAGCGACACATTAGTGCGGACACCGTGCGTCGACGATTGACGAGCAGATACCTCCTCCACTGTCACAGGCCACACCGTGGACCCATTCTGACACCACGGGGGCGGTCGGGTAGCCTAGTGGTTAAAGCGTTCGCTCGTCACGTCGAAGACCCGGGTTCGAATCCCGACATGGGTACAATGTGTGAAGCCCATTTCTGGTGTCCCCCGCCGTGATATTGCTGGAATATTGCTAAAAGCGGCGTAAAACTAAACTCACTCACTCACTCTGACACCACGTCATCGCCGGGACCATCTTCAGTGGGCAACACAGCACCAGCATTGGAGAATCCTCTTCTTAGACGAGAGCCGTTACTGTATATCAACAGCAGATAGCAGAGAGAGAGAAAGTCTGGCGACGCCGAGGGGAGCGTTGTTCGGAGGCTTGTGTTGTTGAGAGACACTCGTGGGATGGTCCGAGCATCAGGGTGTGGGGTGGAATTGGTCTTGCACAGAGGGTCGGCCCTGTGGTCTTCCAGAACATCGGTCCTGGCAGAGGCAATGATGTCACAGCAGCTCGGGGCATTGATAAAGTCTTGAGACCACACGCCATACCTCATTTGGCACGTCGCCGTAACCACGAATTTCAGCATGATAACGCCCGTGCCCACACTGCGAGAGCAACAATACCACTAGAATCGCATCAGAACCATGCTGTGGCCTGCCCTCAGTCCCGATTTAAATCCTATTGAGCACCTGTGGAACGAGATTCAAAGACGACTGAATGACGTCCGACTAAGGACGACAACTGCAGCTGAACTGCGTCAGGCGTTCCTCAGAGTGTGGGCTCAAGTGCCTTATGGCCTTCATCAACCAACCATTCTATGTATCGACGTTGCACGGCAGTCGTCAATGCACATGGCGGACACACGAGATACTGACTTGTGATGCAATTTTCTCAGACTTGTGTTGTGTTACACTTTAAGAACATTTGACACATGTTTACAGTGTTTGGACAAATACGGTTTCTCATATATCTATCCATGGTGACGTTTCTTTTGCGGTTCAGTATATATATACACCGTCAAAGCCAGAGAAATATCAGTCGTACCAGGCGTTCGCAAGGTCGGTTTCTCAATCGTTGCCTTGACTACTATCGAATATACATCCTTCTCTACACCATCCATGTATTCGGGCATGACTTGTATCATCCGAAATGAATCCACATTCGTAACAGTTACTGGTGTCGGATAGGAAACGGAACATTTCCAAGGTCAGTTCCAAACTCTGGTCTCAGCTATTCAGTGAGTGAGTGAGTGAGTATGGTTTTAAGCCGCTTCTATCAATATTCCAGCAATATCACGGCTGTACACCAGAAATGGGCTTCACACATTGTACCCATGTCGGGAATCGAACCCGGGTCTTCTGCGTGATGAGCGAACGCTTTAACCACTAGGCTACCCGACTGCCCCCCAGTTATTCAGTATTGACCTTTTTGGCTGCTATCCGCCATCAGTTGAGCTGCAGGTGTGTAGATTAGATTCAGATGGCTGTAGGTCGCTAAGATGTCAATTAAATACAAGCCACAAAACGGTTCCAGCAGCCACAAGAAATCTCTGCTAAGATCAGAGTCGAATGTATGATTCTGACTGGATCATGACTACGTACTTATTAATCAGCATCAAAGAGTGAAGATATCAGGTGCTAAAGGTGGAGCGTACCCTGCTCCACCGGTGGCATCTGCCACAAACACATGCAAAGGCAAGTCAAGTGTTCACCTGCAACAACAAGGGACCATATGGTACAGGTCAAATAACAAGTCGAACATCATTCTTGTCACTGAAGTGTCAAATTTGGAAATGTCCTCCACCTTTTGAAAGCTTTACTGAGGGCTTGAATGTGAAAACCTTGATTAAACAATTGTGAGCAATACTCTGTAGAAAGGGCATGCTCGGTAAAGTTATGTCACACAATCAAAGACGGTCAAAGAAGGTAATCTATGAGCAAAGGAAAATAGAGTCAAATAGGAGCAAAGGGTAAAAAAATTGTTTTGTTTGTTTGTTTGTTTCGTTGTTTAATGCCGCACTCAGCAGTATTCCAGCGTTGTGACTGCGGTCTATAAATAATCGAATCTGGACCAGACAATCCAGTGATTGACATCATGAGTGAAACAAACGAGCATGGGTATGGAGCTGACAAACCTAGAAACATAATTGGGTGGAACCGGGATTCGAACCTAAGATATATGCATGAACAACTTACTCATAACAATTAGGACTTACACGAAAAAACGCGCTCCTAGTTATAACAAAGAAGTTGTTCATGCATATATCTTATCCTTACAAAGTACTCCAACTTCTAAATGCCTATCTAAGAAGTAACTGAATTACTATGTTTAACTCATTCCCCAAAACAGTCATTTGTCATTAATGTTACTGGTTAATTTACCAGAAATATACGAAGGGAGACAACTCATTTATTGGTTATTGAAAGGGACACTTTTTTTTCTTTTTTTTCTTTTCACAGTACCCAAGCATACATTATGAAAAGGAGTATTACAAGATTATGTTTTTTGAAAATTTACTTAACACAGACCCTATGGTAACATTAATTTTGCAAACCTATTACTTAATCAACTATTTTTCCTATCTTATAAGGCAAGTAACTGCACCCCGGATCTGATGGGGATACAAACACACTCACTAAACTAAGTATTAAACATCTAAAGTTTATTGCATTGAAATACAATATATGTCAATTGCAATCAATGAAATCAGTAACAATCAAAGGATTTCAAATATAAAAATAATATTCTGTATCATTCTATTGCATAGTTAAAAATACAAGCTTGATTTTGACTTCCAGTGCTTGTACACAGCATAAAACGAAACTGAATGTAAGCAGCATACTATATACCTGTCACCTTATGTTGTTCTTTAACTGTAAGAGTACTATATACCTGTCACCTAGTCTTGCTCTTTTACTAAAGCAGCATATATATTCCAAACAAGAAACGTAAGGGATCATGAATATTTTTGAGGATATTATGTTGTATTGAAGACTGAATTTCTTAAAATGTGTATGGTATATAGAAAGATATAAATACTTTTTTTGTTCAATACATGTTCATGCTCATCTTTT